CAATTTCCAATAATTAATTGTCTTATTGAAATCTTATTGAATGTGATTAAGCATAAGTATATTCTAGAATATTCCATGCCAATGTATCAATGCACTTAAGTACAACAACCATTCCCATACCGTGGGAAATCATTCTTCACAATAACTCCGCCTCCACCTCATCCCTGGGATAGCTGGGATTTTGGATATGGTGGAAGGGAACCGGGTGGCTGTGTTGCATTCACGTTTATGTTGTTGGCGTGCTTGTAATTGCTGAATAAAGGTTTAATTACCCAAGTTTGAGGTTTAATCATCCGAGTTGAGTGAAAACAATTCAAGAAGAATTTCAAGAACTCCTGGTTATTATCGCGGACAAGAAAGAATCTGCGACACATGAAAAACTTGGCCGTGAAAAATTTTGGTTGTTTAATATTCCTTTATAATTATCAAAATTAGCCAAATTAAAAATAAAATAAATGAATAAACTAGAAAATTAAAAAAAATTTATAACAGCCTATACCTTAGAAGGATTTGGTGAAATTTTAAAAAAAAAAAAAAAATACAAACAAATGCTCGATTCAATTTGCTATACAAGCATAGTTAGATTAAACTGATGATAATAAATGATATAGATAAGAGGAAAAGATGAAAATTTTCATTTAATCTTTTCTAGGATCGATTATAGATTATCAAAAAATAATCGTCAGAAACTAAATTCGATGATAATATTTTATGTATGTAAATTGTTCCTTTTCCGGATAGCCATTATCCGGTTACATTACAACATATATTACAACAAATTACGCAATATCCGGAATTGTTTCCATTTTAAACAATCAATCAAATGCTAAAATTAAATAAATTAATGGAAAATGTTCTTTTGATTAATATAGCATTATAAAATTTACAAGCATATGCAAATTTATAACGATAGTAGAAAAAGTTTTCATGCAACGATTCATATGATATTTCTTATCAGCACTTTTTATCAGTGATGAATGCAATTTCTAACATTAATATACTTGTTAAGGTAAAGAAAAAAACAAAAAAAAAGATGAAAGAAAAAAAGAAAACTAGTCGCGGAATTACGGAATTGTTTTTTTTTTTTGCGCATGACGAGCAAAGTTTCTTTTTTTTTTTTTTTGGTTGATTTAACAACGAAGACGAATATTAAATTGATGGAGGGAAAGGAAACGAAGCACACTTCTGGATTTTGGTGCCACGAGCCGGGACATGACTAATACTATTTATAGTAACATATCCCGGCTCGAGACATCAAAAATTTTGTTGCAAAACTTTTTGCTTCGACTAATGATGAAGTCTTTTTTTTTTTATTGATTGATTGAGATGAATAGTTCCAGTAAAGATTTACTGATTGACGGAGAGGAGAAGGGGAATAAGGACGAATAGTTTCGGTAAGGATTTACTGATTGACGGGGAGGGAAGGAGGATAGAGACGAGTAGTTTCAGTAAGGATTTACTGATTGACGGGGAGGGAAGGGGGATAGATTTCGAACGTTATAAGAGGAGATTTATCAAAAAAAAATATTGCATAAATGTTAGTCGAATAGAATCGAATATATTGGAGAATATGGTATTGATTTTATCACTTAACATTATTGATCGAATAAATGAAATGACCATTGACCATCTAAACACATTAAACTGAATGGGTTAAGATTGTACGATTGGAATGACTAAACACATCAGCAATGACTGCTGAATCTTTTACATAGTGGAAATGGGAGTGGTTTAACATTCCAGCCACAATTGGCTTAACTATCATGACTAGAGAGGTTCTTTATAAATATTTCATATTAGGTTCTTTACAACATTCCAATAATTATATGTAAGCTTAATTAATAGACTCGCAAAAAAAAAATTATAACAAAGAGCTTTGTTTAAAATATTTCAACATTGCAATTAAATTAAAAAAGAAAAAATTGGAAGAATTGAATTTGAATTCATTACTTTTGGATTTATCATTCTGCAAATTATTCATTTATTCGATTAACAATTATTAAATTATTTTTTCAATATTTTCTGATAACTCTTCTCTTATAGCATTTGAAAAGAACATTTCCCTCTGCCGTCAATCAATAAGT